TCTCATATGTGATAAGATTTGTGGGTTTTGAGATTATCTTATTCAGGATTATGAATTTCTTTCTAATATCTTATCTAAACCTATCTTCCTTCAGCTAATTCAACTTTTCACAATTCCCCCTTGTGAAAAATTTCTCTCCAGTCTTTTTGCAAGCCCCCTTCAGGTACTAGAAGGCAGCAGTGAGATCCCCCTGGAACTTTCTTTTCCCCAGGCTGAACAACGCCAGCTCTCTCATCTTGTCACCACAGAAGGGGTCTTTCATCTTTGTGATCAGTTTAACGGCTGTCCTCTGGATTTGTTCCAACACGACCACATATTTCTTGTGTTGTAGACTCCAGATCTGGACAGAGTACTCCAGGTGGGGTCTCATGAGAGCAATGTAAATGGGGAGAATCACCTCCTTTGACCTGCTGGTCAGGCTTCTTGATGAAACCCAAGATGTGGCTGGCTTTCTGGGTTGCAAGCAGGTGTTGTCCTGTCATGTTGAGCTTTTTGACCACAAACATGCCCAAGTATTTTTCTCCTGGATGAGTCTTGATACGTTCTCTGCCCTGTCTGTACTTTTGCTTGAAATTGCCCTGGCCCATACAAAGAACCTTGCACTTGGCCTTGCTGAGCTCCCTGAGGTTTGCATGGTCCCACCTCTCAAGCCTGTCCAGGTCCCTGTGGATGCCATCCCTTCCCTCCCTGTGTGGACAGCCCCACCCAGCTCAGTGTCAGCAGCAAACTGAGTGCTGAGTGCTGACAGTGGGATCGAGGCAGTGCTGAGACTGCCCTCGATCCCACTGTCCACGTCCCTGACAAAGGTGTTAAAATGTGTTGGTCCTGATATGGACAACTTCTCTCCACAACCTTAATAGTGCAACCATGCCACAATTTTTTTTTTCTGCCATCTCCCAAGTCCATGTCTCATCACTTTACAGACAAAAAAATTTTCTTCTAAAATGTTTTGTCTCCAACAGTGAGCACAGAATTGTAGCCAGAGGGATTAGCAGAAGAATGGAGAAATTTTATAATATTTCCTTAAAGTACACTTCCAAAACACTAAGAAACTCAAGTATTTCTTGGGCCAAAACCATGTGTCTAGTATTAAACACCCCCAGTGGACAAGCTCATATGATTGTCTGAATCTCACTGACATTCTTTATAACAAAATTGATGACAGGTTTGAGGAAAATCTAATACAAGTAAGTCTTAAAACTAAGCATAATGCCCATCACATGAGTGCTGAGGACTAGTCTGCTGTTATATCCAGTCCTGTGTGTCACAGGCAGGTTTCAGCAATGGCTGTGTTCGCAACGTTCCACCTGAGGGTTTTAATTGGATTTTCTTCACAAATGAATTTTCATTTTTAGTTGGTATAGGTAGGACATGTTGTTAGAAACCTCCTGCTGCATTGCATTTCATCTGCAGTGAGGAAAAACTGTGACAGGCCTCTGACAAAAGTCCAAGGAAAATCTTAAATGTTACAGAGTGGAGGGGAAGAAAAAAAGATTGCTGCAGGTGACTTAAACTCAGACGCTGTCGCTTTCTGACTGTCAATGGAATTGGCTTCACATTCTACACCTGTACATGTAATCACATTCAGGTTTGACTTTGTTGACTGTTTTGACTTTGTTGTGAAGAATGGTTGAGGCACTACACCAGTTAGGGGAGTAAAGGGCCAACCAGAACTTCTGTATAAATGAGTTCCTCAATCTTGAGGCCCAGGCATTCATCTTCTACTTGATGGTGGCTTTCAGTGTGAACATATGCTGAACCTTGCTGCAGGATTTTGTATTAAAGCACTTTAACAGTTCTGACACTGCACCTTCCTACTGTATCTCCAAATTACCATATAAATGTAATAATTATGACTATCAGCAAGACTCTTCTCTCACACTATATCGTTCACTTAATAACATTTAAGAAGCAATCAGTTAAATAAATAAATGGATGAAATCTTATCTGTTTCTGTCAGGCAAAGGATACAGTACTCATTTAACATGATAAACTGAGCCATATCTCTTCTTCCAAAGCTGGAATCTTATAGCTTAAGTTATATTTAGTACATGTTCTTCTTCCTAAGCCCTTCTTTCTTTCATCAATCAGGCTTCCTCTAAATTCATTGGTTTTTTCCACTGTATAAAACTAGGTGGATTCAAATAGAGGAAGAATCTGGAACATTTGATTGTTATTAGGGTGGAGATAGAGGCCTCACACATACAAAATATTAAAAATACTTAGAAATATTAAAATTATTTTTGTTTGGGGGGTACGCAGCGCGAAATCAGAGCCCGTAATACAACAGATCTTTTTCGTCTTTATTTTTATTGTGCAGTACAATTTTAGGTTAATAAAACAAACAAAGACAATACTTTTATTCTCTAATCCCCACATTTCATTATTTTTATTTAAATATAACATCCTATACATTGTTGCTCAGTGATTTTGGTATCCCTTTTATTTTCTAAACCCCTTCCCCTGTTTTCCTTTTACTCAGGAGACTGTTATGCTCAGGGTGACAGAAAACAGAGCTTATGGTTGAGGACCTGGGATACTCTAATATCTGCAGTTTGCTCCCACTATAGTGGGCGTTACAGTATACCAAACACACAGGAATCATGGATTCCTTCAAGGGTTTTTTATTTTGGTTAATTTTCAGAAACCACTCTTCATGTCACAAATGGCTCCTGGCTCACTTTGGGAAAGTGATATTTCCTGATCTTGTCATTTGAGCAGCATGGTGTTTTGAGTACTATGATAATATTTATGCATAATCCTCCCCTGACCAACTCATCTAGGTAAGTCTGTAAGAAGAGAATTTCTTTTGTACCCTAAATGTTTAAGTTGTCATTCAATACTGCATTCATCCAACTCACACTGAAGGTTCAGTATGGGTGGTCCATTATGTCTTGTCAGTTTTAATTACTGATTACAAATTTAAACAGACACTTGCTTTTATCATGGTAGTTAAATTTTGCTGTGAGTTGCAATTGCATTTAAAATCTAAAATTCTTATTTTTATTTCTAGAAAAATGTCATTTGTGAAGAAGAAAACTGGAGATAAAGTACCATGAAATGCAACATCAGCTATCAACTAAAAATATGTTGTCTCTCAATGAATTCCTAGTTTTAAAACAGCTGATTTTATTTAAGGACAGGAAATATAATCTGACCATTTTGTATTTTATGGGAAAGCTTTTTTTTTGCTTTTTTTTTTTAAAACAGCTAATATTTAAATAACAGATTAAGATTGAAGTGCTGGTTAAACATTGACTTAAATAAGTTATAGAAGATTCCAACAACACCAGCCTTTATAGAGGTTAAACATTCTCAAAAAGACACATTAAGCAAGGCTCTCCTTTGTACCAAAATACAGTCTCCAAACAATAAAAATAAAACCAACTTTTTCACAACGAGAAATATTGAAGATAAACTGCAGCATCAATATAATCTTATAGTTATCAGTAAAGTATTTAAAACAAAATAATATTATACTACTTTTGTTTCTTACTAAAGACACTGCAAAGGCTTATTTATTTATTTAGTGGAATACAATGTGAAGACAGTGGTACAAATTGTTTGATGTACTGTTTTCTATCGATCTGCTCTAACAAAATGAATCTCAATATGGTTACACTGGTGAGCTATCCAGAGCTCTCTAAAATTACTGAGTAAAGCAAAATATAAAACAAACCTTATGTACCTTTAATTGAACAGGCTTCATATTATGCTTAACTTTATTATACTGCAGTTGCTCAAGTTAAGCCACGGGATGAGTAACACTTCATAAAAATGTGCTGGATATTATGTATTCTGAGCCTTCAGTTACTGTGATGGTTGTGAAAGGCATGCTAAAGCTGGAAACCAGCACAGCTTTTCAGTTGTCTTGGCTCTCATATATAATATACACGTGAGTAATAATCTCCGAAAAACGCATGAGCATGATTTGGATCGCACGAGGGTGATTTTGCAGCCTTTAGCTAGATATCACTCCCACTATACGCCTGTGGTTCTTCAAGTTGGTACCAAAGGCAAATGGGTTGAATGAGAGTATCAATTGAGTAAGGTGTGCAGGACTGTGTTGCCTTCTTGCTTGCCTTTCAGTGGCCAAATGTTACGCTTAGGAATTACACACTACTGTTTTATTTCAATGCTCGCAGTCTCAGTGATTTTAACAGGGCTGACCACATCAGGGTTCCAGCCCAATGTGTGCTGCAGAATATCACACTGATAGCAGTGTGTTAGATCCTAGCTTCAAACTGAAATCCAAGTCAGGTGAATATACACACAGATGCATTGACCCCCAAGTACAGATGTGGCTCCTTCTCTCAATTTCAAAATAGTAGAAGGACCCATTGAACAAAGTATTTCTTGAAGGTTTTTCTTGAGTGCTGATAAGTACAAAAATTTCTCCAATATAAAGACACTCAATACCATAAATCCAAGCACTGCTTGTTTGGTCTTATGCTTAAGTGCAAGACAGTTTATGAAAAAATGGAGTATACACTCTAAATTCTGCCTTTAAAGCCTTGTCTAATTCTCTGAGTACTTCTGCGGTTCTGACATTTTAATCTATCAACATCTCTGTGAAGTACTAAGAAAAAGGGAAAATAAGAAAGAAGCAAATGAGGAAACATTTCAAATAAAAAAAGATATTTAACATCCTATTAAATAAATAACTTAGAGAGAAATAAAGAGAAATGAATTTAGGACATACAAGCAAACCATACTATTCATTTTGTTAGAACAGTTATACACTACTTTGCTTATCCTATCCATTCGTCCACAAGGCTTCTCCAGAAATGTCATTATTTGTGCATATGACCCAAGTGCTTCCAGTAAATGCTTGTGTGTCTAACTGTTCATTGAATCATTAGGCTTGAATGAGCAATTAAGGACTTTGATAAGAGTTAGTATTCCATAAATAGCATTCCCCATGAAGATCACGCAACAGATTGTCTTATGTCCATCAAGATCTGTTGCAGTGATTAAAAAAAAAAAAGTTCACACTGGCAATAAATTCCATCCCCTTTGATCCAGCTTCATTTTGATTATAAGATATTACAACAAACTAAATAAAGGTATTTCATGTGCCAGCAATAAGTACAAAACCTTCAAAGGCTTCCCCTGCTCTCATTTCAAACATGCAGATATCTGTGCTACTTCTCCGCATCTACCTTTTAAGAGAATTACCAAATATTCTTAACATAACAGCCTTTGGTTCAACTGCATCAAAAAAAGTTTGTTCATCTACGACATGACTACCATAGGAAGAAAGTGAGCTGAAGTGTTTTTCCTTCTTGTTTTCTGTCCTCTCTTTGTGGTTCCCCTCCCATTCAGGGCCACAAACATTTGCCTTCCATTGTGCTTCCAATTTAAGGACGCGTATGTGTTATATCCATTTTCTTCTATTCTTTCCTTCAATTTGCAATCGCTATTAAACTCCTTCTGTTAAAAGAAGAAAAAACCCACAGATTCAGAACAAACATAATATTTCAGCATACTGAAAGAAAATACTTTTTAAAAATGTTTCAAAAGATTGTAGTCTTTTGTATGTGACACTCTTTTAGGATTCCACAGTGTATTCAAATAAAAGTTTCACAGCATATAAAGCATCATCAGTTAGACTGCAAAAAGTGAAATTAAAAAAAGATATAATTAATAATTCAATGCAGAGTTAAATGATTTAATTAATTAGGAACTCAAAATCAGCTTCTCTGTGTTGGAATATGGCAAGAATATTAAACCAAGTTCTCATTCATAAACTCAAAAGCATAAAGAAGCAATCTTGGAATCATAAATCACATTTCATTTCTAACAAATATAACTCTTAAATATCTTGAATGAGATTATTGATACCATACATTAAACAAATATTGATGGAATAGGACTATTTCTTATTTAAAGTAAGAATCTTTGGACCACTCTGGTAATGAAAAAAGGCTTTTTTTGGATGGGTGTAAATCACTGTTATGCTGCTATCACAATTGATGTGAGGCCTATTCACTTGGCTGACCTGAAAAGAAACTTAGCCTAAAAAGGAATTGTATGACCCCATATCTTATTGACTAAACAAGGTTGGAAGTAATTTTATGTATGGGACCAGGGATTAAGATTTTCTATTTTTAAAGGAGAATCAGTTGTCAGGCTGTTAAAACGAATCAAAAATACAAGCCTGTGGAAGAATGTAGGGGAGTCTACTTATTTTTTATACTGTTAAATGTAATTTTATGTAGATGTGCTGCTCTATATAGACGTCAAGAATAGTTCTTTTCATAAACAAGTAATTCCTATATATAAAGCCATCCAATTTTAACAAACTACTTATATTGCATTTAGAAGGCTTTTAAAAGTGGGGTGTTTGAAACATAATTAAATTAAAATGAAAAATCAGCATTTTGTTGTTCCTGCATTTCAGAAAATAAGATGTCATTGCACAGCTTAGGGAGAAGCAGGTCAGAATCTCAGAGTATGATATACTAACTACATGCACTATTTTTAATGTGATCATGAACAAGACAAGAAATAAGTCTGAATAATAAATCAAGTTTCATGTCAATGAAATCAAGTTAAATATATTTCCCATACATATTAATTTAAATTAGAATTTTTTTACTAGTTAATGATAAGGGCTTTGATCCAGTGAGAATTTTGTGTGAACAGTTTGTTTCCCTTGGTTGCTTCTACAACCATTGAAGGCTTGCTTGATGGAATTGCATACATTCAAATTAAATTCGGCTCCCAAAGTGTTCTTTAATTTCAGGATTAGTAGTTATTTGAACAATGATCAGTGAGGAAGACACTATCAAGGCAAGACTCTTTACAAGACCACTATTGGCACTGCCTTCACCACAAAGCCACCATATAGATAATTTACCAGTTATTTTCTGTAATACGTCACCTCTGGCATCAAGGTATTAAAAAGGGAGGTGCTCATCAATCACAGTTCAAAACCACAGTAACTCCTCCTATCTGCCAATTTGTTAAAGAAACTTAAAGAAGCTAAATTTGTTAAAGAAATCTAAGAGTGAGTCTTTTCCCCCTCATTTTAACCAAAATCGGTCAAATGGAAAAGTATTTGATTAACATAGAAAGAGCTTTGCTTGTTTTCCTAGAATGCAGAATTGTACTCAAATTCAACTTGTACTTCTATTCTTAGATAACAGAAAATATGATGTTTTGATGTGCTTCTGAAGTCTTACTGGCAGGGGTCTCAGTGCTACACAGGACTGCTTTACTCATTTAAAAACAAATTTCAGCATAAGTCTGCACCAATGTCTATTGTGCATGTGCTCAAGGGTGTTTTTAGGATTTTTATTGGTTCTGGTTTTGGTATTCGTATCCATCTGCAAGCTGCCACACTGCAGTAATATGAGGTTAACTGCAAGTCCTGGGATTACTGGAAAAATAATAACAGAAGCATTCTTGAAATTGCTAAAGTATTATGGAATAGGATTTGATAAATCATTATGTTGTGATTTTATGATGTGAATATTGAAAAATTATCTCAGCTGGAATTAAAAAAAAAAGGCTTCCCACATTCGTATCTTCCTGTCAACACTATTTCTAATACACTATGAATTACCGAATCTTATGGCAGCAATTTCCATCTATGGTACATGAAAGATGCTTCAATGTCTTTTGTACATATATAGTGTTGGGACAGACTCTAAACAGACTCTCACCACACCAGGCAAGGCTGACAACTGGGGTTAGAGAGTCTGTCTTGGGCTTTGGGATGAACCATCACAAATGACTGAAGTGCACAACTGAGATGCATGAACGGAAGGTGGTGATTTATGCTAAAACCTTCACCTACATCAGAAGCATACCCATGATCAATGACTGTACTGATAACTCAGTACACAGTTTTCCCTCTCAATAAGCACTGATCATCCTGCATTTCTGACCAGTACAAATCTAGAAATTAAATCTACATTTACAGGAATACAAGAAAAATGTCTTGTTCTTGTCTCTCCTTAATGTGATTCTTTGGAACTGTCACAGAATTTATAAAACCAGAAGTATGTTATTGATCCAGGAGTGACTAGACACAGTGCAGGTGAGGGAGGACAGTGTATATAGTTTGTATGAACTAAACACACTCTCTTTCTTAAGAAAGAGGTCCAAATGACTAGAGGTCCCTCGAGTCTCACTTGAGATTACCATTACTTCATTGTTTTCAGCAGAAATAGGTGGCCTAGCTACATTTCTCAACCATAAACTCAGTCCCTATATGTGACATCCTTTCTATAAAGCATATGGATAATCTGAACATTAAGCAACCTGCAGAATGGCTCATAACCTTTCCAGGAACTAGAACAACATTGCAAAACTGCAAACCAAACCAGATGTTACACCAGAACAATCTGGTGTTTGTGTATTCATGGGGATGTGTGAGGATATATTTTAGTTTAATTGTTAGACTTACAGATCATATCACTTTATATAAAAAATTGGATAGTTTCTGAGTTTCCTTGAGTTGGTTTGTTTTTGTTTGGTTGATTACTTTTGGGGTTTGGTGTTTTAATATTTTTTCCCCTGAAAGTTTCTGTAATTCCAAACTTACACAAATACAAATTAAGTATATATGGACAACTTTCAAGTGTTACCTGAATTCTGCTCAGATAAATCTGAGCTGCTGATATTTCAGTTCATGTCTCTCTGTACTGTCCATAATCTTACTCATTAGTCAATATAGTCAATTTAAAGCCTGCTACTCTAGGAATCTTCTTCAAAGTTTTAATTTAATGATTTGGTTTGTTCACTCCATCAGCTCAATTATTTCAGGCACCTTTATTCCTCTCTCCCCTACCCTCAAATTTCTGCTAAGTGTGATTGCACTGTAGAAAAAAACAGGGAAAACAAGCCTTAAAGATTACATTTTGTGAGACCCTGTAAACTGAACACTCCTTAATAAGCAGCATGACTGAGGCAGTAAGCAAGATAAATCCCAGCAATTATGTTGGTATGACATGAGCTTAGCAAACAACAGGAAGCTTGTGGAGAGGAGTGATCCTCGTTTATCAGAGGATGAAATTTTGATAAACAGCTCATTTCAGCTCTAATTAGTAGCAATACACGGACAAGCAGTGTTTCAATAGGCAAGACAGGGAACTGTGCTGACTCCTGAAATCCATTTGGAATGTGAAAAGGTACTTACAGAGCCGTAGACTTTTCCTTTTTTGTTCATGGCTAAATAGTAGTTGCTCTTAATAGACTTAACTGCCACAACTCCAATTTCTACAGATGTTATCTCCAATATGCCTAAAAAATATAAATTGAGCTATTTAATCACTTTATTACAGGATTATCTTTCTGTAGAAGAGACAATAAACCTGAAAAATACAAAACTTGCAATATTTAGGACCAACTGACCAAAAAATTCAGCAGAAGTATTTTTTAAGTCACTGCAAGAATATACACAAACGTTTTTTGAATTAAAATGCTTCCTAACTCTGCATTTTATCCATAGATACTGAAACAACTTCATTCTTCCTAGCAAAGATGAAAATTATAGTAAATTATCTGATAAATCTTCAGATTTATATATATATATGTAATTTATCAGAAGAGACATTGAAACCACAGCATCAAATTAAATATATAGCATATGTCAATAGAATATTGGATTTTCCCCAATCTTTAAAACCCTTGGTAAACAATTTTTTCCTTGTAGAACATTTAGATAAACTAAATCTCTTGGTTGCACTGAGCTGATAAATTCACTTTTGGCAAGTGTGTTGACAGTATGGGAAATAATAAAACCAACACTAATGGCCACACAATCTTTGTCTTCCAGATATCAGAAACATTTTGCTCTGTTTGTAAAAAATATTATTCTTCCCCCACACCCTGGCTTTAAAACAATTTCTTTCTGGGACATTGGATGGCTCAAGGGACCTGTAATGGGAGATACACCTTTTCATCTCTGTTTTCTGCCCAGGAACATACTGATTTGGGAGTAGGAGACTGCATGCCTGGCTCCAAAGCTTCTCCTGTTCTCCTGACATCTATGCAGCAATAGTCAGATCAATATCCTGGCTAACTCAGTGTGGCACACTTAGGGTGTACCAGTAGAGAAATTACAGGAGGGCCAAAACTGTCCTCCTTGATTAGGTTGTGGTAGCTTACATTTACCAGGGCCATTGATAGAGGCAGGTCAGCGAGTCCATGTTTGCAGGGCTCTAATCTGTATTATTCTTAAAATGTTGTTCATTTTCACAGCAAAGAAAAGTCAAAGTTGCTTTCTTGATCTTCTGAGAGAGCACAGTTACAGAGGACTGAGCAGCTCTCCCACAGGACATCTGCTAAAGTAATTGTGCTCAAAATCAGAGTAAAATGGACTAACTTGTGGATAGCAAACTAATAGAGGGCAAGAATCTGATGCAAACACTGCTACAACACCATGAGTGATGCCTTTTTTTTTTTTTGTGTATTTTCCATGCCAAAACTGATGAGAAGAATTTAGTCAATTCTTTCTACAGAATTGTATTCTGAACTGTGTCTGGGTCCATTTCTATCACCAGTAACAAGACAAAAAACCAAACCAAACCAAAACACAAACAAAGAAGCAAGAAAAATACTGGTATAACATGTGCCATTATAAATTTTTATGTTGAATGGGATTAAACTGGTTTGGATTTTGCCATACTATCCTTGTAACAATAACATCATATTAGGCTATTTCATTAATTATTTCACCAAGAGCTGAAAGAAAACACTGCGTAAATAAGAAACTTGTACAGAATTAATCCATTTTAAGCGTCTTGCACTTGAATGACGGACATCACTGCTTTCCAGTAAAATACTTAAATAAAAATAACACAAGTATAATTAATGAAAATATAGTCTGCTTTTCCTAGTAAAGTTTGTTTGCAATTTCATACTCCATTATATTCCTGGTGGAGCAACTGTAAGGAGGTCCATGAGGAGAAATGTTACTACATTTATTATATCCACAATAACTAGCTTGCTTTTCACTGGTTAAGCTATTTAGTTGTAGCCAAACATAGAAGAATTGTTCCAAATTATTGTCAGGTTGATAATGTCATCACTAGTGATCCTGGATTTATTCTCAATGAGTGTGTTCTGTGTACCTGAAAGCTTAAAAAAGTATAATTTTTGTTGACAATTTTGCATTTTCTATCCTCTACAGTATTTCATTTGGGAGAAGTAGATATTTAATGGATGTTTTTCTTTCAGATCGATTTAATCTTGATCTGTTAAACCTTGGACAATAGGGACCTTATTTGATACTTTGATACTTTGCTACTCTCTGTAGTCCCCCAAGAGTTACCTGCTAGTTACAAGCACTGTTACAAACTAGATTTTGTCTAGATTGCAAACTATTCACTATACTTACAGATCTTCCCAAGAGAAGATTCTCTAATTTGATAGAAATCTTTTGAAGGCAGTAGGAATCTTTTATTGGTTTCAGTGATGTAGAGAAATCTGCTGTAGACAAATCACCTACTCATCTGACATGAAACTGCAAGAAAGCCTAAGAACTTTCTAGAACTTTGAAATAATTTAATTTGAATAAAAAGAAGTAAAATGCATTTGATGTAAGGGTGAAAATATGCATTTGATTATTCTTGAAGTGTTATTAAATTCAGCAGGAAAATATTTTAAAAGGAAATTGAGATATACAGTACGAAGCTTAAAACTACAGTGTTTTCCCCTTTCCTCATCCCTTTTTAAAATTTTTTTTTTATTTTCTTATTCTATTCCCAACTATTTTACCTTTCATTGGAACTCTTTTTTCTCTTCTCTAAAACTGAAACAAAAGAGGCATTTCAATATGCTTCCTTGCATGCTTCTTGTATCTGATATTATACCATTGCTTGGGCTTAGGTATTTCCATACCTTAAGACTTAGGTCCAAGAAGATCTCTAAGGTAAATAATTTCCATGATTTAATGTGACTTATAATTATTCTTGATAATAAGCAGTACAAAAAAATTAATGTTATTGTGGTAAAAGTCTTAGGAGTTACTTATTCTGATTTCATGCTTCTTAGGAACTTGGAAATGAAAATGAATTAATTAAAAATAAATCAAAATGTTCTGGCCTCTATTATTGCTTTGAACCAGATAGCACACTGTTATTTCACAGCCATAACTTTGTAAAACCCAACAATTACGACTAATCCCCATTGACCACATTCACTGTAAAAGCATAGCTTTCAATGCCCAAATCATTTCCAATTATAATTAGAAAGATTTCAAATATCAAGATGAGATGTGCCCTGTAGCTGTGCATGCACTCTCTTTACAGGTCCCAAAGGCTTTAAACATATTACCAATAGAACCCAAATGTATTTACCTTAAATAAACTGTATTTTTATACTTTATAAAAGTGATCATTATACATATTACTAGGCAACAGAAACCTGTTTGTCTTCTTGCTTTGCACAGAGGGTCTGTAAAAACTACAAGAGAAAATTGCACTTCCTTGGTTATATGTTAATTTCAAATGTCCTATATTTTATAAAATGCTGATAATATGAAGCAAAAAAAAACCCAAAGCATCCTAGAAATGGAATGAAATTATGTCAATCAATTCTTAGGAAAGGCATTTGACAGAATATCAGATCTGTTTTCATGGCAGAAGCACAGTGGGTGTAGACGAGGTCTGCCATGAGAAATGCTTGATTCTGGGACTAAATTCAACTTTGCAGCTTGAGACAGTGGTCATTTTCCTGTAGTTGTATCATTTGTGTAAGGAGTTCTTATAAACACATTTAGAACATCTCCATCACTAGTTGCAGTCCTATCTATGCAGGAGAACGGAACCACCACGCATCTTCCAACACCTTTCAAAGACTATCCTGTATATGCAACAATCCACAATCTCTCCTCCCCCCTTTGAGTCTTTTTCTATCTGCAAAAATATTGTAGATGAAGAGTGAGGTCAGCTGGATAGAATGGGATGATGACTGAGAGCTTGTGAAACCTTTTGTTTTCCCAAATGGTGACAAGAAGCTGTTGGGCCCATGAAGGACCCTGCAGCTCTTGGTGGAGCTGGAGAAGACTGGGCTTGGTGTGACTGCAGGTGACACTAAACTGACTTTTCAGAACTTTGGCTTTTGTGCCCCAGCTGGGAGTTTCTCTGAAAGGGTGCCTTTGTCTGCCACTGGCTTAAGTCAAAACAAGTTGGTGTTCAGGCATAATGTTGAACTACATGGTAGTTCAAAAAACTGTTCTTAGTAGGTAGCTTGAAAAAAAGGGGTTTGAAACAAATAGATTTGTTGTATGGAGTCATGGAAGAGTCAAGTACTAAGGTATATGAGGAAACTGCCTCTGTTTCCACTCTGTTTCACCAAGTACACCTGCAAGCTGAAAATATCCCCAAATGACAAATTATACTAATATTCCTATATTTACCTGTATTTTGTGATAACAGAAAAAGGAATATGATGGGTTAATCAATAAAAAACCATAGGAAACTGAAGATGGCAAGCAAGTCTTGCCTTTGAAAACTTTTTCAATTAACAAAAGTAGTTCCACTGAAAGGCAACCTTACAGACTTTGTACTTGAATTTGTAAGGGAGCTTAAGATAGAAATCACACAACCCACAGTGCCACAGCTATGGGCAGAAACCTCAAATAATAACCAACCTGAATAATAACCAAACCTAAGCTTTCACTTAAAAATTGAATTTTATTTGAAGTTAAACCAGTTCTGTTTTTAAGACTTGATTCTGGATTTTATTAATATTTGACTTTTTTGAGACTGCTATCATTCCTACTCTAAATCAGAAATTAATGTACTGAAAGACCACAAAGCAATCTGCTCATATATCATATTTAGATCAACTATAACCAACATACTAATGTTCCATGAACTTTTCTATCCAATGCCCACATTTAATACTTTTGGATAAACCTGAGATATGTATCTAAACTTATGGAAGATTATGGTAACAAAACCTCTGAGCCTTCCTACATCACCATAGTATCAGTATAAGATGTGACATGTCCACAGTGCATAAAAATCACATTAAAGACCAATTATTAGAGCCCGTTCTCAGATCCACACAGTCTGTACCAACTTCCTTTTCATCTTTTACTGCTTTTATGGCTTTAATTTCAGAGCAGAGCACGGATGACACAATCAATGGTTCTCTGTAGACCAAGCAAATCGAAGGGTGGCACCTGGGATAAGAGAACCTCTTAGTGATCAATAATGAGAGCTGATGGTTAGCAAAGGAGGAGTTTAGGTTTAGCTACAAAATTGGAAGGAATCAGTTTAGCTAGTATACAT